GTGTGTCTCCCCACCAACCCCCTCCTGCCACTGGGATTTTTTTTTTTTTTTTTATATATATAACTACCACACTACTTCCACTACGTCAACCTGGTTCCACAGCAGCAAACTAACAATCACATATAAAATGTTTTACATTATTATTTAAATAAAAAAAAAATTAAATAAAAACGACTTCAAAATCCGTAAAAACGTCGAGTGTCAAGTTTAATTTTGGTAACGGAATTAAAAATGGAATCGAAATCCGACACATGATCGGAGGTCAGTGGTGTTATTTTGTTTTTCTTTTTTCTTTTTCCAGCCAAAATAAATTAACAAATTAAAAAAAAAAAGAAAACATTAAAATAAATAAAAATGGCGGGCCTTCTTCTCCATGACTCAAAGCAAACAAGGAAGGACGATGTCGGGAATTAAAAATAGCTTTTTGCAGCAGTGACGGTTCACTTTTTTAGCAGAGACAATAATCAGCCTTTGACTTTGGATGTTGGGGGGGGGGGGGTCGTGGGGGGGGGGGGGGGGGGGGGCTGCTGAGATGGAGGGGCAGGGAGGGAGGCATGAGGGGGGCTGTTGTTGGCACAGCTCTATCAAGGAAGAAGGACTCCCTGTTGTCTGTGAATGGAGCTTCTCTTTTGGCCCGCACAGATATAGCAGCGAATTTGAAATTCGTTTTTCTTCCAGAGACAACAATGCTTTATTTGAGGGCTTGATACAAATTGGGGCTTGTGCGCGATGCCCCCTTCTCTCCTTGTCCGAGCCCAGCTGCCCATATGGGACACAACGTGTGCAGCAAAAGATCACAATGGCACCGAGTGACAGGCGGGGACAAAAAGCCCAAGGATGCGTCTGCCTGACTCTGAACAGCACCGAGGAACTCTCTGACTGCGCGGTTTCTCTGCATCCTTCACCGCTGCCCGCTCACGTGCACGCGCCTGACACTCTACCAGTACCGGGGGGTGAGGATGGGGGGGTGGAAAGGGGCTGCAGTGCCCGATCACACTACAGTTAAAAGACAGTTTAAAGTCATTTAAAAAAAAAAAATAAAGCTGGGAAATGATCATTTCACGTCAGGATAAAATCCGGTTTCAGCAGGTTTATATTTCCAACAACAAGCGGAACAAAAACCATAATCCGCTGCGGGCAAAAATTTTTTTTTTTTTTTTTTTTTTACTCCCATTTCTCCACGCACCGCGACACCAACCAACCAACCAACGCTACGACCAAGTTGCTGATTTCTTTGACCTACGAGCTCCGACCAGCGGTGAAACACAAAACCAGTCTGTCAGGGACAAATTGAGTCTGTGTCTCCCACAAAAGCAGTAGCCCCCTGAGACCCAATCCGGTAAATAATTAGCAAATCTGCCCAATTTAGCTGTTTGTTCAGTGATGATAGGGGCGACTCCGACATCTGTTGGGAGGTGTCGGCGCCGGGACGAACACACAACGGCATGGATTTTTCTGCAGGGTTAAAATATTTACCCAAGATATGGACTGGCCTCTGCACGACACTGGAAAGTCCTTTGTGTCTTTTTTTTTTCTTTTTTGTATCAATCTAAAAAAATAATAATAATATTTGATTTTTTTTTTAACCACGCGTGTATTTCCGTTTCTGCGTCCACATAAAACAAAAACACTTTTTTTGTTGCATTTGAACGTGAATTTCTTTCTTTTTCTTTTTTTTTCTTTTTTTTCCCCATCACACCCTTCCACTCCACGGCCGAGCCCGTGAGTGGCGGGGGGGTTGGACAAAAAGGAGAGCTTTTGACTCAAAAGCTTCTTCTGTGGAGAAGCCCTCTTATATTAAGTAAGTGGATTTTAGTCGCGTTTCACGAGTGACTTTAGGCTCTTTATTAGTGAGGTGTTGGGTTTTGGAAAAATATATTCCCAGCATTCATTTGTCCAGACAAAAAAAAAAAAAAAAAAGAAGGGGCTAAAAAGGGCTAAAGTGCGCCGGAGATTACGTTCCTATTCTGGAGCTGTGTTCATCTGTTTGAGTCCCAGTTTTTTTTTTTTTTTGATCATCTGTTTGAGTCCCGTTTTTTTTTGTTTTGTTTTGTTTTTTTAAATGGGCCGTTTATACAAAAACCGAACTCTAATCCAACCGATTCGGTGTTTTTAATGTAAATTTAAATTTAAATCCTAGTTTACGAATACGTCAATTTAACCTTTTACGTCAGGCGACACTTTTATTTAGATTCGATTTTAAAAAAATTCAATTGATTTTAAAATTGTAACGAAGGCCGATCACGCGATCACACGATCCTACGATCCACAAAGTCACCGTCGATCACAACAATATTCCCGATAAATAAATAAAAAACCCAAAGGAAAATAGCTGAAAAGTTGCCAGTGTTTATTCGTGGCAATAAATATTTTTTCGGTCCATAAAAGAAGCAAGAAATTAAAATTTTTCTATAATTATAAAGTGGTTCGTACGTGCTGATAATAACACGAGGGGGACAATGGGGGAGTTCGGGGGGGGAGGGATGGAGGGAGGGAGGGAGGCATCTCTACAACCAACACACAACATACTTTACAAAAAAGGGAAGAAAAAAAATTGTCACAAGAAGAGCATTGACATTCTTAATAAAGTCTATAAGAGGCGGAGGTTCGAACCCAGTTCTCTTAACGAAAACATGTAAACACGGCGCACACGTGAGCCCCGAATAAAAATGGTAGAATATATATATGAGTCAAGCTGCAAAAATGAAAAGTCTTTTGTTTTTGTGTTTTATTTTTTCTCTCTCTCTCTCTGTTTCTTCTCTTTGTTTTTGTGGTGGAACTCCCTAGTGTGCCTCCAGAACAAGTCTCTCCGTTTTCCCCCGTTTTCTCTGCTTTTCTCACCAAGTCCACTGTTGCGTCTGCACCAAATGATGCGCCGTGGGAAACTGCGGCGTGGCCGCGGCGCCGTACTGCGCGTTATACTGCATGTGCTGGAGAGACTGGGCACTGTAAGCCGAGAAGGGGATCCCGGCCTGAAAAGTGGCCGCCAAGTCCTGAGCTTTAAGAGTGTGACAAGGCTTTCCATCCCTGACTAAGACGGGCACGGCCACCCGCCGGGGGGAGGGCAGGTGGGTCACTTCCATACCTTTCTCGGCCCGGGCTCTCTTCATCTTATACCGGTGGTTCTGGAACCAGATTTTCACCTGGGTCGGGGTGAGCCGGATCAGGCTGGCCAGGTGCTCCCGCTCCGGGGCGGACAGGTACCTCTGCTGCCGGAAGCGGCGCTCCAGCTCGTAGGTCTGCGCCTTGGAAAACAACACCCTCCGTTTGCGCTTCTTGCCGGAGTCGCTGCCGCCGCTGCTGGACGTCTCCTTGTCGTTGTCCGGGGACTCGTCGTCGGCGGACGGCTCCGGGGACTTGGCCGAGTCCTGGGAGCTGGCGGAGAGGCCGTGCACTGCGGCAAGAAACGGGAGAAACACTGTGAAAATGTTATGTTGTAAAGTTCACTGAGGATTTTTCTTTTTCTTTTTTCTTTTTTTTTTTTTTTTTTTTTTTTTTGCCACAGCCACAAACACATCACAACACACACAAAGTCACCACATGCACTGGGAAAGATCACCATGAAGGATGGGAATGTTGGAAAATAATAATATTAATAATAATACTATTATTATTATTAAATAATAATAATAATAATAAATGAATAAAGTGAATGTGTAAAAACTGTGTTTTTTTTTCATCATCAAAGGCCTTTATGCAAATTTCAACACTTTGGCGCAAATTAAATAAGGGAAAAAAAATAAGGAATAAATAAATAAATACCCCTTCACTTGCCCATTTTTTTGCCCCCTCCAGCCACCCCACCACCACCACCACCACCACCACCCCCTTCCCTACCCCTCTGCAACAGCAGCCCGAGTCAGTGGAGCATTAAAAAAACGCATTGTCTCCGTGTAAATCCCCACAGAATGCACGTCCTCACTGACTCCGCTGCTGCTCTGGTTAAAGTGATGAAATTCTCACAAGGATTTGAGTCTAAACACAGCGTGAAGATGAACGCGTGCATGCAGCAGAGCACGGGGCACGGGCGGGTGAATGCTGCTGCTGCAACTGCTGCTGCTGCTGCTGCTGCACCCAAGGGCATCATGGTTAGTTTTGAAAACACACAGGAGGCAGCATGCTATAAATGATCTGATTAAAATCTTCTCCCAAAAACACAAACACGAACACGAGTCCACGGCGACACCACGGAGCAACAGTGTGAGCCTCTACTTACATGAATACTGAATGCTGTCCGTGGTAGCCAGCCACCGTGTGTAGGGATTGTCACTGCTGTCATAAAACGGGTTCTTTAAAGGCAGATTCTGAACGTTTTCCAGGGGACTTTGCACCAAAACTCCAGCGCCCTTCGTCGTGGACGTGGTCTCCGATCCCTCCGTGTCCTCCTCGGCTCCGGTGATAGATCCCTCCTCGTCATTCGTGTCCGGCAGGTCCAAAATGTCCTTTACAGAAAAGCCCGTCTTTGTGTTGGTCAGCGACATATTTAGCTGGGGGGGCCAAAATATGCTGGGGGAAAAAAAAAAAAGTTGCCGCACCAGCTTTTCGGGACAATCCGGCTGTTTCTGAGACCAACCAACAAACCAACCAACAAACAAACAAACAAACAAACCGAGGACAGAGAGAAGCAGAGGCGAGGTTTGAGTAGGGGTCGCTCTACGCCTGAAACCGAATCAAAGCAGCCCTCTGTGGACGAGCATCGCCAGTGGAGCCGCTCCGTGTAAGTCCAGGGAAGGATGCCAAAGTGGCTGCAGAGCTACGGCGGGCTCATGGACACTGTGCTGCTGCTGCTGGCTGCTACGGGGATATAAGCCATTACCTTGTCTGATCACTCCATATAAGGTTGGTCTCAACACATGAACCTGCAGTGAAAAAGCGTTAAAAAGCGCGAAAGGTTGGCCACGTGTGGGCGGGTCTTAGGAGTCAAGTGGATGAAGACAGTGTTTGCAGATGTGAAATTGTGGGTTTTGGGGAGATCCGAGCCTCTACCATTGGTGCTTCAGAGCATGATGAGTGGTATAACGTGTCAATTAATTACAAAGACGGGGAGGGTCTTTTTTTTTTTTTCTTTTTTTTTTTTACCACCCCATTTACATACAAAGGGTCTCCAAGTAGCTTTATACTCCAGTTTTAACAAATTGCTGCGACTGAAGCTTCCGCTCGATTTTCGCACAAATATCGAATCGTCTGCTATTGACTATTATTATTATTATTAATTCTGCTGTTGTTCAAATAACCAAGGATGCTGCTGGGGGGGTCGGGGGGGTTGGAAGTTAGGACAGGGAGGGAGGG